AAAGTGTTATAGTCTTTGTTGGGGGACTTGAAAGTTGATGCCAGAGGCTTTCCTACCGGCTGAGATCCACCAGGGGTAAAGGGGAAACGAGTGTTGTAAGCCCTAACTCTTTCCGTATCAGGCAATTCAGCCTAGATCGAAAATAGTTCCATTCACAATTCAAAGCGTCCAGAAAACTATCTTGGTACTTCTCCCGTAGTGTCTACGTACTGCGGAGTAGTTATTATTTACTACTAGTATCTACATGCTTAGCGGTTCTCCGTCGCATGGTCTTAACCTGCAGAATTGGACACACACTCATATATACTAGTATATTTACTAGTGAGTAATCATGGTCAGGAGCTTCAGGTTAGGTGATCATCATCGGGTGCATGGGTTGTTGCACACGTCCATAGTGACTGCCCAGAGTCTTCTACAGCAATAGGCAACATCTGTCATGGCTGTGAACAAACTTTCAACTATGGGTCTCTTTTCGTATTTCTTTTTCGTATTTCCCGAAGTAACTTGACTCAGCACGTGCAGTTTGATCACCCGTTCTGAAACCACTAGAAAAGGTTCCAGAACCTTGAGAAAGAACGACGATGATATGATGTTGTAACTAGTACGGAGTATGTCGATACTAGCAGGGTAACCAGGCAGCCTAGCTAGGGCGCACTGTGGACTCGATTACCCTACCCGTGTCAATGCTGACGGCAAAATCCCCCGTAGTGAGAAAAATCGGGCGGCTGGGAAGAGAATAAGGGAAACCTCGAGGCTCTGAAGATCGAGACAAGTGCTGATCACTGGTCTCTCACCCGCCGCTGGTATTACATCGTAGACGAGTCCGTATCTACCCGCAAAGCACAGTGAGAGTGCAAGTAGTGCTCTTGAACTCTTTATCTTATTGCCGTCGCAAAGTCAAGTTTTGATGCGAATTCTCTCTCTACTCGAATCCTTCACCATCAGATTATGCGACTATCATTCCGTATGCACTGGGTGGTTGTGTCCTCGGGCCTCAGCCTAGAGGCCTCATACCAGGTTAGGCTCTCCGTAGTCACTCCGTGCCTTACTTTAGTAACTTTTAGTGCTCCTTATTGCAGCATCGAACTGCTAAGAACTTGCGGGGAATCGTATCGATCTCTGTCGGTTAGGCGGAACCTGCATATCATAATATCGCCAATAATAATCCGCCTGTTGAAGTCTTCTCACTTCTCAGGCCGTCCTTCCTGATTATTCATGGAAGAATGCGTACCAAAATCGAACGTGATCGCCATGAGAACGCTGCTTTCCAAGTTTCCCCTCACACAGACAGCCGCTTGGGAAGTTGGGAGATCCTCCTCGGTTGATCGACTATCCCGGATCCTGATAAACATCCGAGAAACTCTCTTAGTAGTCTCGCTCCATCAACCATAGTCTTCCAAGTAAGTCGCAAAACTGCTGTTGAAGCTAGAAAAAAAAAGTCTGAAACCAAGGAGTGTCATGCCAAGTCAGCAGACTTTGCATTAATCGCTTCCTGTGATCATGGACCCACTCCAACAATGAGGAGGTATGAGGCTGTTGGGGAGAATTGTTTTGGCAGACCGAAAGGCCCCTTCGCAGGCTCAAACCACAAACCTCGGATGTCAAAACGGAAGAGATTAAGTTTGCGCTGTCTCTTAGATCAACCACAATGTCTTACATCGCGACATCGTGGTGCTCAGGGTATCCATAATCCATCCACCGAATGCCAAGCAAGGTGTTGAGCACTACTTGCGGTGATTACGTATCCTGGGTCGTTGACACTACCACCTTACACCGAGAAGGTTATCAACTTCAGTATTATCGACAGGGTTTTCATCTTGTTTTCTGATTAGTACTCTCATCATTGAGCCATATAGATATGCTTTGTTTTTTTCCCTCGCGTGTTGGGCGTTCTGTTCCCTGTCCGAAGCACGTTAGTAACCAAGAAGTCATAGACACTACTAACTGGGACCATTTCCAGGTAGGAACTAAGGCCGTATCCAAAACCAAGGCATAGGCCAATTCTCCACCTTCTGCGAGTCAACATGACCAGCAATGGCCTCGATGAACGATCGACCATTCCCTATCCAGCAACAGGATGCCCTTAAACTCCTTATATTCAAAATGGAGTCCTCGACACTAAAGATAGATCTCAAGTCTTAGTCTTGACTCGTAGTCATGTCAGTGGATGGCTGATTCGCTGGTCTGCTGATAATCACTGACTGCGCCGTTGGCAGCGCCTTCGAGGGTGCGACGTGCCGAGAGGGGTTTATTGCAGATTCTGAAACAGGCACCTGAAGGTTGCCGTTGAGCAATCACAGCGACGGGGTCAAGACCTCCATGATTATTAATCTGTAGATAGTATTGCTTGGTAGAGACTGTGTAGGTTCTTCGTGTACTACCCCCAGTACAGGTATTGCATATGCATACTATGGCATATGGTATTCACGCTACGGTCGATATGGTTACATGGTGGCAACCGGGAGGGGCTCGCCATGACCACATCTGAACATCTTGGGTGCATCGTCGGCGAGAAAGCCAGTAGGCATGTTCCTCTACAACTCCGACTTGCATTAGATCGTTAGCTAGCTACATGAGACTAGGCACTTCATCTTCTGTGCGGAGAGCTCAAACCATCCTTCAGTCAAACTAGAGGGCGAGAGCCGGAGTGCTTGAGCTTATGATTCTCTGTTGATATCTGCATTCACGGCACTATGAGCATGCCTCGGACGAGGTCGTCGAGTCAAAAACCACAGTTTTGCTGGTGATGGACTACCTCTAGATACCAAGACGTCACTTAGATAGGTAGTCTAGATCTGGTATGTGCTGACGATTGGCGAAGGAGGGCACAGACATGGCCAGACCTGGGGGAAGATCCGGTCATTTCTCGGTTTTGGAGCGTCGCGGTGGCAAGGCCTAACCAGATAGCTCGCGAGATCGGAAGAGACCGTGTAACTTTCATTCATACACTATCTAGGTCACAGACTCGACTTCGAGTCAAGATACTTTGTGGCGGTGGAATTTGGAGCGAAAATACGGAGTATCAATGTCATGTTGTCATCAATGCAGTAGTCAAGACTAAAAAAGCAGTCTCTGCAGCTGGGCCTGGAGCTTCTCGGATGATCTGAAACCACGATTAGGTACGGAGTAGATAGGTCTCTTGATTGCTTTTCCAGAGTCTTACGGAGTACTTCTGCCCCATAAAAGTTCGCACTCTGTAGCAACTAGCAAGCCAAAAAGTGACGGCTCCACAAACTAATCCCAAACAAGTGAACGACAGGGTTCTCGAATTCAGGGGGCGTTTCAGTCCTATCGCAACCCGGAAAGCGGAGGTTTCACCATATCTGGAACAGTGCACCAGTTCGGACCACTTTTTTTTTACCCGAACAGTCACAAAACTTCCACTGAGGTGTTAGAACGTGCTTCGACAAATATTTCCTAGAATAAGACTGGAGAATAAGGTTTCTTAGTCCCAAACTAGAGGCACACGAATGAACTGGCGAAATGGGGAGCGATATCAATTTTCAGGCGTCGCTCTCTGTTACATAGCGAAACGACTGCTGCACAGCGGCGGAATGGCTTCGCAAGCTAATGCAGCTCAAAGAGGCTGTCTCGAGTAATGGCTATGCTAGTGATCAATAGCTCCGTCAGTGGCGACGATAGTGGCAAGGAATGGACCGAGAATTTCGCAAACAGGTCGAGAGTCATCAAGAGCCTTCCGGGGATAGCAGTGGCAGTCCATAGCTGGACCTTCTCTGTCGTGACCTAGAACGATGCCATGGCAATCGCCAGATTGCAAGAGACCCTTGTGACTTGACAACCTCAGGCGACACAGGTGCCAACATCTTGGGGAGTCGGCTTAACGCCGTCCCCTTGTCTTCGTTTTCCCTCTGCCTCCTCTACTTGTGCCTCTTCTACTTGACCGGCGCGAGCTTTGAACCGCGGCAATGTCTCGCTGGCTCAAATTCAAGGTTCCACCTGAGAGCTTTCCGATGCCAGGACCTGCGATGCCACGTTCTCGCCGGCCCTTGCTGACTTTCGACTTGTGCGTCGGCTTCTCCAGAATGATTCCATTCTCCTTAGCTTCTCGTCGTCGCTTCTCCTCCTTCGTCAGTGCCTTGGCTTTGATCCCCCTACGGAGCGACGAAGGCATATTCTGGTGATAGAGCGATGTTTTGGCCCCGAGAGACTGCATCCTCAGGTCTAGCGCTTTCAGACGGTTTTTGCCGGTTGGCGCAAGTTCCGATGCGGAGTCCAAAAGGTGAGACTCCTTGAGCAATCGTTGCAAAGCAAGATCATTCTTTAGGTGTTCCGCATCCATAGCATCATCGTCATCCTCCTTTTCGTTCTTGGTCATTTTAGAAGCAGGTTTTGTGGTTGTCGATTCCATCGACAATGTAGGTGGCTTTGCGGTCTGGCAGTTTCGTAGAGCTTAGTATAACCATGCCTTATTCTAAATCCCATCTAGAAAACATACCATAAAAGCTTTCCGGGCTTTCTTGTCCAGTATTTCCTTGTCCTTCGTGGCTCTATCCTGGTGCTCGACAACCTCAACGTGGTTGCCTTCATCCTCCTCGGACACACCATCCCATTCCGATCCAGACTCCAATCCATCACTGCAATCCTGCTCGTCCTCTTGCGACTCTTGCTCGCGATTGATCTGTCCACCGGGCAACTCCAAGGGCTCAAATTGAGCCTCGAAAAATTTCCGGAACAGGTCATGAGCAGAGGTGTCTGCGACAGTAGAGGACTGTTCTTCGTCTTCTGTCTTGGGCGATCTTGACACAATGGCTGTATCTCTCTTTCTTTTTCCGATCATTTCGAATTGATTTGTTTAGTGCAGGCGTAGTGTAAGTAGAATCTGGGTCATCGCTCGAAGCTCCTTGACCGCTTCATTTTTTCGGACAAACTATTGGTCACGTGCGATAAGATAAGCGCTGCCCCTCGTCCTATCAAGACAACTGTGGATGTTACCACTATTGCCAGCAACCATTCTGTGGGAACGGATTGAATCTGACAAGATGACCAAGTTTCGGCCTTGTATCGACCTTCATTCGGGTCAAGTGAAACAGATTGTTGGAGGCACCCTGAGTGATAGGGACTCGGACCTAAAAACAAATTATGTATCAAAGCTCCCTGCCAGTCACTATGCAGAATTATATCGGAAGCATGAACTGCGTGGTGGTCACGTTGTGATGCTCGGACCTGGCAACGATGAAGCTGCAAAAGAAGCGCTCCGTACGTGGCCAGGAGGGCTACAGGTTGCGGGGGGGATAAATGACAAGAATGCTCAGTATTGGATTGACCAGGGTGCGGACAAGGTAGGTCCTCTTCTCACTCTGGCTGTATATGGTTGAACCATGTGTGCTCTCGCTTGGTAAAATGAATCTGTAACTCATCTTTTTGTAGGTTATAATTACCTCCTTCCTTTTCCTGGAAGGAAAGTTCTCTCTTGAACGATTGCAGTCTGTTCTCACAGCCCTAGGAGGTGACAGATCCAGGCTGGTCTTGGATCTCAGCTGTCGCAGAAAGGACAACACATGGTTCGTGGCCATGAACCGCTGGCAGACGATCACAGAAATGGAGATTAACCAGGGTATACTTCAATTTCTTTGTTCTTCTCACCACTCCGAAGCTAACCTTGTCCCAGAATCAATCTCAATGCTTGAGCCGTATTGCTCCGAGTTCCTCATTCATGCTGCGGATGTGGAAGGGCTACAGCAGGGTATTGATGAAGAGCTTGTGGCGAAGCTGGCCGAATGGTGCTCAATACCCATCACATACGCTGGTGGGGCCCGAAGTCTGCAGGATCTTGAAAAGGTCCACTTGAGCAGTCATGGAAAGGTCGACTTGACTATTGGTAGTGCTTTGGATATCTTTGGTGGCTCGGGTGTAACGTTCGATGAGTGTGTACGGTGGAATCAACAGCATTGAATATGTCTCATACAGGAACTATTGCTGGCATATATATAGATAGAGCAAACCTCTATTGGGAAGCTCCATGAGGAAGATCACTCATACAATAATGTGCTCATGAGCTAACTCTGTTCAATACGAAGCGAAAGGTGCCTCTCATTAACTGAGTGTCGAATCGTCAGCCTGAGGATAAAGTCTCGTGTTCGTGGCCGGCACGAACGTTCCGGTGCTGAAGTACAGAATGAGAATGGACGGAATCCAGCTTCTTTTGCTATCCGGCATTTACACCTAAACGTCGGATTTCTGATGTTCTTTCGCATCAGGATGGTGAGCTCGTTTGTCTTTCTCCTCGTTTTCTTTTCCTTCTTCAAAGACTCAGCCGGCGGGTACGCGTTCAATGCCAGCCTCTTGCTATTCGGTAGAAGCTTGGTATGCCTCCTGAATAAGAGCCCAAATCTCAATCAAACCCTCTGCTACGGCATATTCTAGTAGTAGCTGGGAGTCAACTGTAATGAGGTAAACTGTGACAATCAATCAATTTTTTTATTATGTCCCACAGACAATATTCGTTTTGTAATCCTCATACATCCGGCTGACGTTCATGTACACGGACGACTCCAGACCATCTGTTTCGCGCCATACAGGGAGGACTGAGTTTATTTTTAGATCTCTTGGAAATGCTTGATTCAGCATGTGCGTTGTCGTCTGATCAATTGAAGGACCCTGGAATTCTGTTTGTCTCATGGAATTATTGTTGAAGATCGAAATCATATTGATGCTTTCGCCAGTGGATGACGGAAGTGACGGGTAGACGACGCTCATTGGACCTCACATGCCAAATGCGGCTAAGGCGGATCAATTAGAGCTCTCCGCCTCCCCTCTGAAGTGCAAGCGGCAGAGCATACGGAGTACAAACATCAAAAGCTCCAGCATCTCCATTATTTGAGCTCACATGAGCGAAGCCGCTAAATCTCAATCGACTCTGTATTTGATATATCACCCGCATCGTCTCTTACACCAGTTGTCGATCTTTGCGAGGATAAATCGACCTCAGCGAAACCGCATTGCTTGACGTCTATCAATCACTTATCGCATCTCTGGTCACGACAACGTCAAAATGAAGCCTGTTGTATCTGTTCTAAATGCCTGGTCTTGGTAGGTTATTGTCGCCTTCCAGACCGGATCAAAAGACTAACAGATACCTCCGATACAGCGTTGTCATCTCTGCCTTCGCTATTGTCATTCTGTCCGTCCTCGGATCATTATACAAGGTTCGTCTGGTGCCCTACCGTATTCGCTCAACAACCATCTTTGCTGCCTCGGCCGCCCTTTTTCTCCGACCACAGAAAACACTGGATTATTGTGATGGCCTGCTGACAATGTATTCAGAGCGAACACCATGGATTCACCGGATCGGAAAACGACCCCGAAGATGGCGGTGCAGTTGCGGCTTCGATTTTCACCGCGGTGATCATATACGCTGTAAGTCTATCGCACCACCATCCTGTACGTCAAGTGCTATGGAGCGGATGTGCTGATATATTGTCGTGGGCAGTGTTTCTTCGTTTTCTGCGCCTTCCAGGCTTATCTGCACATGAGAAGCCGCCGGAGAGGTGCTATCTCGCTAAGCTAGACAATTTCGTATATTTTTTTCTCGCAAGAAAACATGGAACTCGCCATTTGATTTATGTCCGTTTTACGGAACAAAAGGATATGTCGAGTGCATCTGGGGACGCTCATGAATGCGTGTATCTCTTCCGATTCGACTGACGACGGCTGTCGATCAGATGACGATTACAAAACCCACATTATTTGCTAAGCCTTCATTCCGGCGATTGTGATGTACGTGATTGTTTTAATCAGGTGTGGTGTTCTTGCTTCAACGGTACCTGTCTTCGAGGTTTTTAGAGCACACTTTCTTTACCGTGGTTTGTCCGGAGTACATATTGTGTCGTTGTGTTTGACATAGAGCTGCTTCAACTTTACATTTTACTGTTACAAGGAGGACTGCAGAATAGCAGACTGGGCCCCGCACAAAACAGTATCCAATCCTATCATTTCGAGTTTTGGAAACTGAAAGAACAGAAGGACTGTCAACATGTTTACACCCAAGGATGGAAAGTAGTGGCCAAGACATGTACGGGGATCGAAATTGTAATGCATCGGAACATTAACGCCATCATGCGATTGAAGCCATCATGCAAGAAACGCCTGAGAACACCCAATTATGCCATGTACTCTGGACAGAACCCGACTTTTGCGAGCGCAGCTTTTAGAAATCATCATTATCATATCAATTCTCGACATCAAACACACAAAGACAAAACGTTCTCGTGCTTATTCGAGTCAGAATACTTCATCTTCAATTGGGTCAAGCATCTTGGACATGTAAGGACCGTCCAGTGTGTACCCGAGACGAGCATAGTAACTGCGGACACCAACTCCCGAGATGACGCTGATCTTCCGGCTTCCATGTTCTTCTCGCGCGATCCGCTCGGCCTCCTCCATTAGCAAGGTTCCAAATCCTCGGTGCTGGAACTTCCGCGGATCGCGGCCGTGGAGTGGTACCGCAGAGCCATACACGTGGAGCTCTCGCACAATACTCGTCTGCTGGCCGGTGAATTCCGGACGGAAAGTGTGTGTCGGGCTGCACTTTCGAAGGCGCAGTAAGCCGATGAGAATGTCCTGCTTGGGATCTTCATAGGCGAGGAACGTTTCCCAACCACCGTTGGCAGTATAGTCTCGGCGGATGAGCTCCACTTGCGAGGGGCGGATTTTGTTCTTTACTTCATTGATACCAACTTCGCGGGTGCGCACATCGCGACATGTTGTGCCAAAGTCTTTCATGCGTGCCAAAGCCAGTTCTCGAAGGTTACCATTCTCCACGCCGGAAGTGACCAAGGGCATGGGAATATCTCGCTGCACACGGTAGATACGCGTCCATGGAGGGACCAGCGCAAGAATTCGAGCAACGAGATCTACCAGCGCGTTGGGAGTGTAGTTCTTGTAGCGACCCGTCCTCCAAAGCTCATACAGCCCTGTGCCACGAATGACCAGCGTCGGATAAATCTTCAGACCGTCCGTACGGAAGGCTGGGTTTTCAAAATATTCCTGAAACTGGAAAAGATCCCGTTCCATGCCGACATTCGGCAGATCCGGCATCATGTGGCTAACGACCTTGAACCCAGCATCTTTGGCCAGCTTGAATGTCTCTGCCACCGCAGCGACAGTATGGCCTCGATTCGTGTCCCGCGCAACATCTTCATACAAACTTTGCACGCCGATTTCCAATCGGGTGCACCCATACCGAAGCATATCACTCAGATGAGTATCCAGACAGTAATCAGGCCGCGTCTCGATCGTAATACCAACGCATTTTATGTTGCTCATTTCGCCCGCCTGAACAGCCTCGTCAACATTGTCCGTCTGGTACCCACTCAGCGCATTGTGCAGTTGAGCAATGAAAGATTCTCTGTAATCCGGCGGAAGAGACATGAATGTGCCACCCATGACAATATATTCCACCTTGTCCACACTATGGCCGAGAGACTTGATCTGATCAACCCGACCTCTCGCCTGTTCAAACGGATCGTACCGCGCTCGGATCGCGCGCATCGACGTCGGCTCGTAGCCAGTATATGACTGTGTCGAATATTCAAAATCCGAATCAGGTCCACCAGGGCAGTAGACACAAATGTTACCGGTGTAAGCAATATGCGGACAACGGTGAGGTTTGCTCATGACGGCGACAACGGCAATTCCTGACGACGTCCGAATAGGCTTCGCAATCAGCTTGGGTAAGATATATTTCTTGTATTGTTCCGGCACGGCAGCGATAATAGCTGTCAAGGGAGGTTGCGTAGCCAGGCGATGTTTCTTCGCGATTTGGCCGCGCAGCTTGTTGAGATTAATGTCTTTCTTCGGCTTGGATGAATCCCTCTGCGCTTCATATTCCTGAATGAGCGCATTTGCAATATCAGAGCAAGCTCGCATGTAACGTTCATTTTCTGGTGGGAGTTTCTCGTTGCTGTTCTTGGGTTTAGATGGTGGCGGCAATGTCATGGTGAGGGACGCCATTGTGGAATGGTTTACTGCGACGATCGCAGATCAAAGTAGACCCCTAAAATCTCAATGCAAGGGTTATGAACGGTAATATAAAGTGCAAAGCTGATCGTCCCGACCAGGTAAGCTAAGATGAAAGAATAGTCACGATCCCGCTTGACAGAGGGGCAGAGTTGTTATCAGCGATATTTGTATGTGATCAGGTATTAATTTTATCAGATAGCAGGGGAGGAAAAAAGGAACGCCGAGGGAGCCAACCGACCGCCGCGACAAATCGGATCCGCTTAAAGCTTTGTCCCGAAAAGTCCAAACCCCAAACCCATCCCGGCGCGTTTTCCTGCTGAAGTGTCCCATGTCATTTTGATATATTCTGCAAAGCTTCCACAGACCTTCAGTTCTTTTCTAGCACGCTTACTGGTGCACTCTCCCCTCTATCTTTCTATTCTTCGCATCTCACAGGCAACTATGCAGGCTTTCCGCCGTAGCACCCTCTCTGCCCTTCAGAATGCCGCTGCTGTGCAGCGACGAGCTTACAGCCAGGGAAGCTCGATCTACTCCCAGACTGTGAACAACCTGCGCATCAATGGAGACACCAAGGTTATCTTCCAAGGTTTCACCGGAAAGCAGGGAACGTATGTTGTGGCGATATCTTGCGTACCCCATTTCCGCTGCATACAAAGATGCTGACGTTGCTTTTTTTCCGCTACAAACAGTTTCCACGCCGAACAAGCCATTGCCTATGGTACATTACGATTAACCCCTTGATACTGGTTGTGCGGGTCTACGACAAGAGTTCAGAGGCTTACAATTCCCAGGAACCAAGGTTGTCGGTGGTACCAACCCCAAGAAGGCCGGTACGATGCACCTTGATAGACCTGTTTTCGCAAATGTCAGCGAGGCTGTGAAGGAAACTGGTGCCACTGCCTCTGCCATCTTCGTCCCGTATGGATTCATGATCCCTGGTTTCCGTCGTCGGAACTGATACTGATATATTACAGTCCCCCTCTCGCGGCTGCGGGTATCGAGGAGGCTATCGCGGCTGAGGTTCCCTTGGTTGTTTGGTGAGTTGTGCTCCCATTTCAAGAAAATTCAGTGACTGAGCATCGCTAACGCCGATTTTTCGTATTTCTCAGCATTACCGAGGGTATTCCCCAGCACGGTATGTCTCCTTGCTCCGCGAAATGTAGCTTCTTTTTGCGCAAGAACTGACTCGGAATCAACAGACATGGTTCGCATCACGGATATCTTGAAGACTCAGAACAAGACCCGTCTGGTTGGACCCAATTGCCCTGGTATCATCGCCCCTGTAAGTTCATTCGCATCCGAATTTGTGATATGGCAAGGACCTGCGGAGTGTTGATATGCTCGTTTTCTATGTTGTAGGGCCAATGTAAGATTGGTATCATGCCTGGATTCATCCACAAGCGTGGTCGTGTCGGTATCGTGTCTCGGTCCGGAACCCTGACCTACGAGGCTGTCAACCAGACCACCCAGGCCGGCCTCGGCCAGTCCCTCGTAGTTGGTATCGGTGGTGACCCCTTCTCCGGTACCAACTTCATTGACTGCCTGAAGATCTTCCTCGAGGATGAGGAGACAGACGGTATCATCATGATTGGTGAGATCGGTGGTAGCGCCGAGGAGGATGCTGCCGAGTTCTTCAAGGCCAACAACAAGCACAACAAGCCCGCTGTTGGTTTCATCGCTGGTATTAGCGCTCCCCCCGGTCGTCGTATGGGTCACGCTGGTGCTATCGTCAGCGGCGGTAAGGGTGGTGCTGACTCCAAGATTGCGGCCCTTGAGAGCGCCGGTGTCACTGTGGAGAGAAGCCCTGCCCATCTTGGTAAGACTCTGCTCGCTGAGTTCGTCAAGCGGGATCTGGTTTAGATGGACTCCCGGTGAAAGAGTTTTCCATTTGTCCCTCAGGCAGTGTGGCTCGGCTTGGGCCTATTGATGTTGGATTGCAAGGCGGTGCGTGACTGTGCATTAGGGTACCTTATACTCCTCATACCTATTATTACCCCCAGGACGGCCTCTTCTATTATCTGTGTATTCCTTGGCCAAATGTACCTTTCCTTTTTTCCCTTTCTCGGTTGTTTAGAGGTGATAGGAAGTAATTAGCTTCGATATGTAAATTTCATCGTTGTTTATCTCTTTTGCAAAAGCCCAGATTGTATTATATCTCTAGCTTCATAGTCTCGTTGCTGCAACTGTCTCTGTGCAGGATCACCTCCACACTCACTCCATGAGCGATCAGTCCTATTCGAAATCCTTGCGCCATGCAGGTATATATATCCGACTGGGGCGTAGGATGTCTCGCCCGAGGGCTGAGACGGGAGAAATTTGATGTGTGTCTTCGGTTGCAATTGTATATCGCCTTGTCCATGGGTGGTCTTGGCCGAAATATTTTGGTTCAGATGACCTTGAAGGTTCAAGCTCAACCATGTGGATCAGCGAGTGAATAGATATATGCGATCCGGCTTGGTTCTACTTGTAGTTACGTAGTTTAAAAAAAGAAAAAGGCGACGCATGTTCGTTTAAATGTGGTTTCAGGCTACCCCAGTAAAGCCCGAG